ATAGAGAATGCAATGCAGATATACGCACAAACAAAGCACACAATAACATATATGAATATAATTAACATGGAAACGAATGAGAAAAGCACATCTGTAAAAGGTCAGAATTATTTAGGAGAAACGGTATTGTAAGAAGGTAAAAACAACCTAATAGTTAAATGCTATCTGATTTATTATACATCCAAAAGCTAGAATAATTTGTTTACGGATGTAATAAGAATTGCTAGTGTATCTGGTGATGTGTTTGAGGAATTAATCTTGCATGTTGTGTGGAAGCCTAAATGGATATGCAAACCTAAGTTGTAACAGGTAAAGCTCGCTGACGAGTGCCTAATAGCATGAAACCTACATCTGGGATTTCCTGTGAACTAACCCCAATCACCATCCTATCTCAACATACTGCACGCAATGTCGACTCACCTACATTGGTGGCCACATCGCAAATTGATCGATAGGAAGGACTTGATACACATGACATTGATCACCACCAAGTGATTAGTCAACTATAAATGTCTTAATTACTAAGCAACATCTGAATGTATCTTTGATTGTGAAACATTTCGTTTATCTTATTAGATAAACCTACCATTGATACACTGAAGGAATAAATGACACAAAGTAGATAGATCCATTATCTTGAGAATCTTGAAAATCTTATACATACTTTACATCTTTTGATATCAAATTGACTTTAATTGAATTGAATCTAAACTAGTTCTCACATTGTAATTAATTAGTTAAACAGTTGGAACAGTGCAGATTACAGTTATCTAGTTAATATGAAACCGTGGCATTTAAGTTATGAACACTATGACAAATAATTCAGTGATTCCCTACTTGAAAAATTCAAAACTATGATCCGGACGATTTCTACACATTGATCTTTGTGTGGTTGAAGATTTTGAAATTAGTCAAGAGACCAATTGAAAGAGTATATATATGAGGAGTTTAAAATAAGAAGGAAAAACTACCCAACTGGTCGTAAGGTTCTCCCAGCTATGCAGGACAGTCTACTTTACCTCTCAAAATCCTCTTACTCATTTAGAACATGTAATTAGGTTGAAGAGATTTATTATCGATATGTTCTCTCTTCGGGTGTTTCATACTATCAGACTAGCTGCTTTAAATGTTTCTAAATAACATATTTTTGTTGCAATGGATCCCAACCGTTGTTGCTTCCTTGACGTGGTGGTCGGGCTTGCCCATCATGATGAACCAATCGAGCTATACTGGTTGGAACAACCGTTCCTCAAGGTCCTACCATGTCAGACAGGTCGGTTGAAGAGCGGTAAGACTAAAAGCAAAAAACCCAAGGCGAAGTCGTACTACTGAATGTACAGAGGTGTGACAGCAGTAAGATGTTTCCTTCAGATAACCAACATGACAGTGATGCTGCCTTCCCACAAGGAGAGGTGGGGTTAGGATAGGTCGACCTCAAAAATGCACACGTCGCCTTATCCCATGGATATCCGTCTCCAGCGGTAAGGTCTCAACAAGCATAAAGTTAACACAAAAATTATCCATAAAAGGCTGTGTGTGACCGACCTCAAGGAGTTGTCCCTTGGGTACTGTGATCACACTCTCAGGTCACCAAGACCACCTCTCATCCAGTTTCCTTTTCAGATACATCCAGAAGAACCTCTCACGATATGGGCAACCGGAAAATGATAACCGCACTCACACCTCTAACAGCACTCAAGACCACTACAATGGATGAATGCAATCAGGTAAATACTCTTGATGTTTATCCCAATAATTTTACTGGACTAAATTTTCCAAAGATACAAGGTAAAGCATACACCATATTTCGATAACTCATCTTTTGAGAATGTTACTTTTCACACTCGTTTTTGGTCATCAAAGGAACATCTCTCTCGCTCTTCATCAACCAAATGAACTATTTACTACGTATCGGAATAAAATTCAGTGAAACTATCAGTTGTGTGGTTGGACTAAACAGCTCATGCGTTTAATTATCGACGGGCATTTTGGTGCTGCTTATTCATATTAAATACGGATACGGTGAATACAAGTTTTTAAACTTAATTTAGTAACCTATAATCTATTAATACAAGCAACTGTTTCAAATCAGATTGCCTTTTAATTTTGGTCTACAACAGTGACTTAGATATCGAGTGTACGAGTGAAAACGTAGACTGGTTTAGTGAATCTCTCTTATGACGGAACTCGTATTTGGTACTGCTCCTATAAATATTTTATAACTTGTAACCTGTATGCCCTGTTAATGTATAATGTAATGATACCGTCAATTAGAGAACAGTGAATTATAAACCGGACCAATGGCGCATTAAACACGTACGAGCAATCTAGAGTCCTTATCGGTACCAATAAAATAGGAAACAACATTTGTACAAGACTTAGCCAAATGTGGCTGTGAATGTGGGAGGTAGTAGTTGATAGACAGGGCCTTACTCAAGAATGGTAAATCGTATAATAATAGTTCATAGGTTAAAATAAAGTTCATAATAAGAGGGACACGAATATTATTATTATTATTATTATTATTATTATTATTATTATTATTATTATTAAATTACTATTATTAATGGCTTTATTCAATATTATATTTTTGGTACAATATAGAATTCTCAGCACTTAGTTACTTAACAATTATACGATAAAAGTATACGTATAGTATTGGTCCATAAATGGATCCCCAAAGTTACCATTCGTTATTCTGATCGGGATATAACATGAAGTCTATATGGTGTCTGGTTTTCCTGTGAAACGGCATTGAGCTTTACTGCTCAAGTTATAAATTTTAAGCCTGGGTAGTCTCTGACTCTCCTGTTGAACGGGATTGAGCTGTACTGTTTTGGTTGGCACATGAAAGCTTGGATAGTGTCTGGTTCTCCTGTAAACCAATGTAAAAATACCTTTGGCCCACAAAGATATATATATATATATGAGATTAAACCATCTTCTAGTTAAAATTATAAACCTAACATAATATATAGATTGTTCAGTCATTTGGACTAATGACTAGATTCCAATTTGATCGATAGAATTCGATTATCACTAAAGAACGAGAAAAAAAACAAACATGAAATTAATTACTGCTTAATGAGAGATAGATTGTAAATATCTTAGTCTTATAGGAGGTCAATCGTCACTTGAATTACTCAGTTATAATTTTTAACAATTTGAGACTGAATGATGCTGGTTCAAATACCACAAAGAGTATTGATTTTCTAAAGATTATTGATAGGATTTGATTAGCATGAAAACTATGTAAAGAGTTTCAAGTCAATCACCTCTGAATACCTAATTATCAATGATACTAAACAATACATCAAGATGTGGTAATCTTATATGAGATCATTTAAGTGTAAACCTTGAAATGGAGGTTTAATCAAGTTTTACATCTTACGATACTGAACATTTTGGACAATTTAAACTTTCTGCTACAATATCCAGCTATTTAACCAACAAACTCATCTGTACACTGAAATAGTTTATCTGATATTCTGTTGATCTGGTACTTTAACTGTGTTTGGCTATTATTATTATTATTATGACTATTTTGTTATATCCCGATAACCATAATGAATCATAACTTTGGGATCCATTTATGGAACAATACTATACGTAGACTTTTATCGTATCATTGTTAAGTAACTAAACTATGCATATTCGTGTTCCTCTTATCATAAGCTTTATGTTGACCTATGAACTATTATTATACGATTTACCATTCTTGAATTATGCCCTGTCTATCAATTACTACCTCCCACATTCACAGCCACATTTGGCTAAGTCTTGTACAAATGTTGTTTCCTATTTTATGATAAGATGTGGTCTGTATAGCTGGTGTATATAAATTCAGTGTGTTTGAAATACATGATTCATATTGCAGAGGCTGAGATTGGTGTTCTTGACTCAACTGACTGGGCGAGACAGGAAGCAGGACCAATAAGCACTCTAGACTGCTCTAATGGATTTTATGCGTCATTGGTTCGGTTGATAATTCACTGTACTCTAATTGACGGTATCATTACATTATACATTAACAAGGCATACAGGCTACAAGTTATAACACTTCAACGCTACAATTTGAATAGTACAATTGAATCCTGGGACGACTAACTAAATATTTCTTTAAAAAATTTCTTACTTCTACATTTCTATATCATAAAATTACATTTAAAATTAGTATAATTTTCTTGTTTAAGATTAATACAAAGTTAGATTTTGTAAATTATTCACTTATGAAATCGACTAGAATAGAAACGAATACAACCTGAAGTATATAAAGAGAGAGAAAGAAGGGAAGAAAGAAAGAAAGAATCAAGGAAGGAAGGAAGGAAGGAACGAACGAACGAACGAACGAACGAACGAACGAACGAACGAACGAACGAACGAACGAACGAACGAACGAACGAACGAACGAACGAACGAACGAACGAACGAACGAACGAACGAACGAACGAACTAACGAACGAACGAACAAACAAACGAACGAACGAACGAACGAACGAACGAAGATAACCAAATTGAATCAATCAATTAATCAATCAATCAATGGATCAATATGATCTCGTTTGGTAATCATGTCCTATTTATGCTTAATTAATAATACCATTTGTCTATAATGAATGTGTTTTGTTTCTTTTCAATTTGTATTATGTAATTAATGGAAAACAAAAATGATCGATTCGATTCAATCGGGGTTGTTCTTCTTCAATTAATATGAAAAAAAAATATTTCATGAATAAAAGTTGAAATCAAATTTAAGTAAAGAAGAAAAAAATCAATAAAAAGAAAGAAAAGAGAAAAGGAAAGAAAAAAGAAAAGAGAATAGATATGGATAAAGAAGTTTTTTCACACATTTAGTCAAAATACAAAACACATAAGAGATAAATATTCTAAAAGAGAAAGACCGAGAGAAAAAAAATATTCTTCATCTAATAGAACGATGTTTCTTCTTTGAATCTTTATCTCTTTATTGTTTACTATTATTTGCGTTATTCTTAATGTGATTAGCGAAAAAGAAAAAAAGGAATTGCAAAAATTAGTTCAATATAAAGTAAGTTTACATAATGAACTAAAATAGAAACTATAGTAGCAGTAGTAGTAGTAGTAGTAGTAGTAGTAGTAGTAGTAGTAGTAGTAGTAGTAGTAGTAGTAGTAGTAGTAGTAGTAGTAGTAGTAGTAGTAGTAGTAGTAGTAGTAGTAGTAGTAGTAGTAGTAGTAGTAGTAGTAGTAGTAGTAGTAGTAGTAGTAGTAGTAGTAGTAGTAGTAGTAGTAGTAGTAGTAGTAGTAGTAGTAGTAGTAGTAGTAGTAGTAGTAGTAGTAGTAGTAGTAGTAGTAGTAGTAGTAGTAGTAGTAGTAGTAGTAGTAGTAGTAGTAGTAGTAGTAGTAGTAGTAGTAGTAGTAGTAGTAGTAGTAGTAGTAGTAGTAGTAGTAGTAGTAGTAGTAGTAGTAGTAGTAGTAGTAGTAGTAGTAGTAGTAGTAGTAGTAGTAGTAGTAGTAGTAGTAGTAGTAGTAGTAGTAGTAGTAGTAGTAGTAGTAGTAGTAGTAGTAGTAGTAGTAGTAGTAGTAGTAGTAGTAGTAGTAGTAGTAGTAGTAGTAGTAGTAGTAGTAGTAGTAGTAGTAGTAGTAGTAGTAGTAGTAGTAGTAGTAGTAGTAGTAGTAGTAGTAGTAGTAGTAGTAGTAGTAGTAGTAGTAGTAGTAGTAGTAGTAGTAGTAGTAGTAGTAGTAGTAGTAGTAGTAGTAGTAGTAGTATTCATCGTGGTAGTCCTAGTCGCAGTCGTAGCCGTAGTCGTCGTCGTCGCCACGGTCGTAGTAGTAGTAATGGACGTTGTATTTTTTTGTTACGATCTATTATGTTTGATTTTGATGTTTCATCATTCAGTAAATTAATTCAAAGAGTAATCTAAAAGTGAAAAAGATTAAGAAATGACTGGATATAAAGCTATGAAGCAGTTGATAGCGTAGACAGGACAATACAATGGAAGATTATTCGATACTACAGTGTGTTTGAGAAAATAGTCAATATTATACGGAATTCCTATGATGAATTAGGCTGTAAAATCGTGCATCGAGAACAATTGACAAACTCATTCGAAGTAAAGATCGGTGTCAGGCAAAGTTGCTTACTTTCATCCTTTCGCTTTCTCCTGGTGATCGACCAAATTATGAAGACGTCAACATCTAAGGGGGAAGTATGGGATACAGTGGACACATATGACGCAGCTGAAAGATCTGGACTTCGCAGATGATCTGGCCCTTCTATCGCACACGCAACAACAAAAGCAGGAGTAGATGATCTGTATAGCAACAGTAGGTCTCAGTATACACAAACGGAAAAGCAAGATTACCCGATTCAACACAACATGCATCAATTCAATGTTAAAAACACGAAGTTCATCAAAGGGATCTATTTTCAACGAATTTATTATCAAGTTGTACAATCGTATATAAATGAAGGCAATAGTTCCATGAGGAAATATGAATAAAGAATAACCAAGATGATGTAATAGAAGGATTACAATGCTAGATTACGTAATACGAATAATAACAATAAACTTAATAAGTTAGTAACCAATTATCATCACATGAATGTAGTAAGATGATTAAAATGTTTATGTTACAATAACTGGTGGGAATTAAAGGTAATAGAGGTAGGTACGAACTTAAGTGAAGCGATATCATGAACAATTATGAATAAAATAACGAATGTATGAGACATAAGTAAAGGGAGAAATGCAACGGTAATAATAATAATGATTAAGGCCAAGTTAACGATAAACATAGGACGTAATTCTTTTGTACGTATAGTTCTGGCTTGAGCTCATCGATGGTAAGAGCTTCGGTTATTTTGATGGGGTTTTGTTCTTTGAGCTGAATGGTTTGGTCGTGGGGCTTCCATCGTTCTTCTGAACGACATCATCAGCAAAATCTTCTGAGCTACAAATCTTCTTCACCAGCTTCGGTTATTTTTAGGAGTTGAATACGAAGAAATCTGGGTAGATTTGGACGAATCGTATATACAACCTTAAAATCAAACTATGGATCTGTAGAATGATTACAGTCGATTAGATGTTCGAGTATGGAACTTGTAACTGCTTTCCTCTCACCCTTGTAGAACCACACTTTTCAATGACTTATCAGTTACCTTATGCTCTCTGTAGATAAACTATACTATGATCATTTACTTTATGTATTATTCTTGACAAGAAGTTTATCTACTAACAGAGACAGTTTATTCACTTTAATTCTTAAAATGGTCGACTTGACAAATTACACAATTAAAAGTAGTATCATTTGATTAACGAGTAAAAGTCTTGTAACTCAGATGTTTAATAAACAATACTGTATGATGATATAATACTGATATTGATGTTAATAGTAGACTTAATAGTAATAAACCCCACCTTTTCTTAAATGGAACAATAACTTAAGATATATAATAAGATCAAGAATTTACGCCATTATGACCAATTCTAGGTATTACTTACCGTCTTCAACCACTGGTAGAGGTTATCATGAGAATCCTAACTAGGTATTCTATATTTGTCAACATGACTCAGACTATAGCTTATTGTCTGTCGTAATGACACAATCAAGCTATAATGGCTGGAATACTCGTCGCTTTATGTCCTAACATGTTGGGCAGATAGGTTGAAGAACATTATGATTGAAAGCAGTAAACTTGTGACCTGAGGGATAAGTTTTACTCCCAAATATACCGAAGTATAGCTCCAGAATGGTGTTGTCCTGAAATAACCACCATCTGTATTGATCCAACTTTCTTATAACAAAAAATGGACGAGGTTGGAAAATATCTGTCTCAAATAGTTTAATCATAATGGTCTCATATTGTGAAATTGTGCATTAAGCTGTTGGAATCCCATAATCATGATAAATCCCCTCAACATTCCAAGAACATATTGCTGATGAGTTTTCAACTAGCATGAAACATAAATGTTAAGTTACCTGACGATTACCGTTCAGTTTACTCAAGATATGTAACGATTGAAAATTACCATCACACACACAGTAATATGACATTCAGAATCATTATTAAAAGTTAGAATGATGTTTACTTTTATTCTATAAATTTCACAATCATGTATCAACCAACTATGATCAAAACACAGAATCATCATCAATGTGTGCTGAATTGAACACAATAGATCATTGATAGATATGATGTTGAAATTCAATGATTTATAAGCTTGAAAATTTGAAGATATCTATTTTGCACATCATCAAAATTTAGATTTTAATTCATTCTGACAAGATTATATGAACGATTATTCTAGACTAAACTTGATTCTCCAGACTAAATTAAAACACTAGTGATACCAATTACTTAGAAAATAGACTTTTTAAAAAAAAACAATATCGATTAAGTATTCAATCATCGATTCAGAAAAATAATCAATCGATCGAGGATAATATCACGCCACGGAATGATCATTATATTTACTAGAGGAGAATGTAGAAATTTTTCTTTCATTCTTTCATATATAAATAATATCTACCGTATACTTACATGCGTTTGAAATGAATTCTCTTGTCTTGTTATCCTGATAAGTATAAAATGTTCTATGGATTGATATTGATTTCAAAAATCCAGTTTGATTGATTATTGATTTTTACAAAACTGGGAAATCGAAAATCAACTAGGATTGAAGTTGCTTTGTTTAGTTTTGATAAACTTATCAAAAGAGGACATCATGAACGATTTCGTTCATATATACCTCTCTAAATGCTCTCACATGGCCACATGTATAGAGCCACTGCCAAAAAAGTCCTACTCACTGCCTTCTCGTGGTATTACTGTTGTTTACGAAATTGAGAAGACGAAAAGAGAATATCCAACGCCTTAATCAGTCTTGAGTGCTGTTAGAGGTGTGAGAGCGGTTATCACTCCCCGGTTGCCCACACCGTGGAAGGGTTCTTCTGGAGGTATCTGAAAAGGAAATTGGATGAGAAGTGGTCTTAGTGACCTGAGAGTGTGATCACAGTACCCAAGGGACAACTGCTTGAGGTCGGTCACACACGACCTTTTTATGGGTAATTTTTGTGTTAGCTCCGTACTTGTTGAGACCTTACCGCTGGAGACGGATATCCATGGGATAAGGCGAGGTGTGCATTTTTGAGGTCGACCTATCCTAACCCCACCCCTCCTTGTGGGAATGCAGCATCACTGTCATGTTGGTTATCTGAAGGAAACACTTTACTGCTGTCACACCTCTGTACATTCAGTAGTACGACTTCGCCTTGGGTTTGTTGCTTTTAGTCTTACCGCTCTTCAACCGACCAGTCTGACATGGTAGGACCTTGAGGAACGGTTGTTCCAGCCAGTATAGCTCGATTGGTTCATCATGATGGGCAAGCCCGACCATCACGTCAAGGAAGCAACAACGATTGGGGGACGCTTTAATCAGGTTGGTGGATCTGGAGAATCCGTCTAGGGGAGTTGGAAAACCCTGATACCAAACAAATGGTGCACATAGACTCCAGTATCCTGAAGGAACAAATGGCGTATGAACCTATTGTTAGTCACTGGCTACCATGGGATTGCATCTTCTTACTCCACTGCCTTGTGGATCAGACCTTTATGTTGAAAGCTCCGAGTGTGGTTGCCTGAGAAAACCAACTGCTCCGATTTGGGAACCCAGGCAGTATCACAGCCCTTACACAAATGAAATGAGATTTGTGTGTCCCGTATGTATTTGGTGCCTCATTGTACCGATGTGTTCAAATAATTTTCTGCTTGGTTATGTAGTACTTACAAAGTTTTTCAGTAGTATAAATTTTATCTGATATCTTCAAAAACGACTGGTTTCTGTGAATATAGGTACACTTTTTAGGATGTATAATTCCGGTGTATTTCCCTATTCAGAAAATACTTCAATGATGTCCTGAATGTCTTCTATGAAATATTTCGACTTGAATCAATGATGAGATGTTTGAATATTATAGGTGAACTTAACGTATTAGAGACTGTGTTGACATTTGTGTAGTGGCACGAACTGGGTACTTATCACCTCAAGAAAATATTGAATTTTATCTACAAGATAAACATGCTGATTGTTAGCTTAAAAACACTTAAAATCGAACAATAGTTGTTGAGATTTAGAGACTTTGACTACAGATAAATTTACCGACTGTTCATTTTCACTATAATTCATGATCTTATCATATGGGAATAAGAGATTATGCAATCTGATAATACCCTGGATGAACAACATCAAAGCATATAACATTGACTATATTCTATTCTTTATATACACAGTACAAATTTCACAATCTGGAAACTTTTATAGGTTAAATATCAGTATTCTAGATCAACTTACATTTGTAATGAATAAGTCCTTCTACCCAATAAACTTTAACAAATCGAAATTCAAATGAACAGAAGCAACCTTAAAGTCTGTAGAACTATGAATCATAACAAAAAAAGCCACTGAAAATTGGAATGAAATTACAGCTGGAAAAAACTATGTAGTGTTATATTTACCATTTATTGATTAAGTGATAAAATTGCGTTAGGAGAATGTCAATTGTGAGTACAAGATTGTGAAAATGGTTGAATTTTACTAAAATCCTGAACCTATCTAAGGTAGACCACCACTGAAAACCTAGAAGCACTGAAATACTGTTTTGTTCTAATATAAGACTCTTCAACAATATACATTCATGACTTCGCATGCGGAAATCGAACCCAGGACCTTCGGCTTCAAGTGCGAAAACGTAGGCTCTAGAAGATAATTGCCCAAAATCATGTATGGATTAAGGGAACATACTAACATCAATGGATACCAAGAGTTCAGTGCTTTCAGGTGTCGGAAATGCTAGATTCACAGAAATCACTTGGCAAACGTCATATTTTCGTAATTTTGTTAAGAGAATTTGAATTTCTTATTTTCGCGCCAAAAGCTTTTATTTTACCTTCGATTTGTATTTCCCACCTGAAAGGAACTTAAATGTCATAGGTCCGTTTCCTCTTGTGACATTTCTAAGGACATTTTTGTATTGTGAATGTACGAATGAGTTGTGTGCTTGTTCGTCCGTGCTCCCAACTGCTTGTGGAATATATATACTTTTTATTATTTGTCTTTTACGTTTAGTTAGCGAGGCTGAATCGCAATGAAACAGTTTAACTTAGCATGTTGTTGTGTTGCTGACTTTTATTCCGTTAACTGGTTTAGCTGATATCATAATCTCTTCAAATATAACATCGGGTTTCCAATGATGACTAAGTGATGGTCTAACTTAGATCAGTTCAGGATTTAAATAAGAACATTTTAGTTTCATGAATAGACGATGAGTTGCAATGGTACGATAAAAATTATTTAATCAACCCAATCTAGGAAGAAGAAGAACGAGAAGAAGGCAGAATGGTTGTTAGCGTTAAGATTTATATGAAAATAAAGTTAGAAATTATACAATCATCGAGTGTAATCACTTTTCATTCAGACATCATGGGCGCACACACACACACACAGAACAAACAAGCATACACATTCATACATACAAGAAGTTACATGTGAAAAGTAATTTGATATACAATTGAAATAATGAGTACATATATATATATATATATATATATATATAATAATCCAAGTTAATTTACAAGGTGACGGTCTGTATATATAAATGTACTTCAATTATGAATGGATCTTTGTTTCATATACAACTGACGTGATTGACTTTGACATACTTCTAAAATAATATTCAATTGATCACATATAGCTCTAGCTCGTGACCATTGTGTTTCAAAGCATAATTGTTGAAATAAACTATTATTATTATTATTATTACTGTTAGTGATAACAGTAGTAGAAGTAGAAGTAGTAGTAGTAACATTAGTAGTTGATATACTCGAGGTAGTTGTATTTATATTTATAGCAATATTAGTATTACAATTGGCATCAGTACTACTGAACATGTTAGTATTTGTGACCTCAGGTAAATCTTGTCCAAAACAAGGTACAATAGTTGATGTAGAAGATGGTGGCAGAAGAATATGAGGTTGTTGTTGTTGGCCATTAGTAGCAGTTGGTCGTCCACCTCCACCAATACCAATAGAAGTGGTCAATTGTGAAGTTATCCAATTGGAATGTAAATCGAAATTAGGCTATAGGATTCATAAACAAAAATAGATGAAAGATGGAAAACAAAAGAAAATGGATCATTATACTAATCAGTTGGTAACCAATTGAATTAGTGGTTAGGAGACTAATTAGTAAAAAAAACTAAAACTACTGTTGACATACAAAAATAAGCCAAGGACTTAATATTCCAAGCACCTCCAGGTTTTATCTTTTCACTTCTGTAACAATTTGGAAGACTCGCCTGGTCGTCTCCCACATTATACGAGCATTCCATGTGCCTAAATTAATGGTCGCTCTCGTTATCAGTAAAGGCGTCAGCCTCGTGACTTTCGAAGGAACTCGGCTTTCACCATGAGGCGTCATAACTCTTATAAATGAAGACCTAACTCCCAGGACAGAGCTTAAACGGTTTGAATAATTTTTTCTGGTTAGCGTTTTGTTTTAGCGAGTTAATTTTCTACGCGATGGGATCGCTAATCCCATGCCCGACCCTCCTTATTTATCCGGGCTTGGGACCGCCAGTAGCCCCAGAGGGGCTCAAGGACTTGATATAACACGTTGACATCAGACTTTCTAACCGCTTCGTAATATCTAGAAATCTTCTACTTCTAAACCTTGGATGGAAAACAAAAGGTTGGAAGTATGGAAGAAGCTTTCAGTCTTAAGGTTGGAAGGAGAAAAATAAATATAGGTCGGCGATAATACAAGCACACGACAGTCCACAAATATCTAGTAGAAACTATAATTCCTAATTAACAATGGATCCAAAACTATAATACAACTCCAAAATATCTCATAGAGGTGACTGCATCTCCTGACGTTGCTCCACTACCTTATAGATCATACCTATGGGTTGGAGGCTCCGGGCCTCCTAAGTAAATCACCTGCTTCGGTCTGGGCACCCAGGCAGTATCACGGCCCACACATAAATCAAGTGACTTGTGTGGTGTCTCCTTTTACCAATATTTATGTATTCAAATAAATAAATATAAATAAACGGTCTCACACATTCACAGCCACATTTGGCTAAATGCACAAATGGTGTTTTCTATTTTGTGATCCGATGTGGTCTGTTTGGCTTGTATATAAACTTAGTATGTTTGAAATATATGATTCACATAGCAGAGGATGAGATTGGTGTTCTGGACTCAACAGGCAGGGCTAGACAGGAAGAAGTACCGGTAAGAACTTTAGACTGCTCGTACGGGTTTTATGCGTCATTGGTCCGATCGATAATTTGCTGCTCTGTAATTGGTGGTATCATTGCATCATATATTGATAGGGGCACAATTAAAAAAGATATAACACTATTTCTCTCTCTCTCTCTTCAATTGCCAACTTATCAGGATAGTTTTCATTTTTGTCCTCTCGAGGTCGTTCAACCATGAATCGAACTCAACCGTTGCAAATCTCAAGGTTGCACTGAGTAACATATCGTGTCAAGG